GAGTACAAGTAAGAGTCTTAGAATATCTGATGAGAAGACGCGCATCTCTAGATACTTCTCTTAGCGAAATGCTCAGTCTCTGCAAGACACGCAATATGTTTCGTCCTGACATTCCTAGCTTTTCTCTTTGAAAAGGCTATCAGCCGATATAAACCTTATGGCTATACCTATACATGGGATTTTCAGGAACGATCTTGAATATCACAACTTGGCATCATCCACTGTGTATCAATAAAAAAAAAGACTAGACTCATAGTTATCTCTCTTACAGATTAGAATATTGGTGTGGCTCACAGAAATCCATGCGTTATTGAACTGGTACAATTTGCATATTCATGTACGACATTTCTAGGATGTGTAAATATTTTTGTTAACAAGTTTATCTGCCATTTTCCCCACGCCCTCGTGTACTATCTTTGTCTCATTTTAGATCATTAAAATAGTTAGTTTGCAATAATAAAGCTTGATTAAGCATCTCCGACGAAAGAAAAAGTAAGGATAAAGTCACTAATTGTATCGAATTTTTCTGAAATAATCAAGCATCTATGCTTTGCTTTCTATTATAGGGTTAACTCAAAGTGGATTATTTCCATGACAGGAATAATCAAACGTATTTCGAAGTGGTTGAAGTCAGAGATAGAAATATCAGAAGCTGCAAATTATGTCGGAAGTGTTTTTCATGATGATAGTGATGAACAATCATTTTTCGATGTAGTCTTTTCTAGGTTCGAAAATTATGATCAATCGAATCAAGCTCATGGAAACAGGACTTTCTCAGAGGATATTGATTTTATTATTCAATGTGCCATAGATAGTTTAACGTCGTCCGAACATTTATCTCGACACTCAAAGCAAATTCACGTGTTCTTTTATATTTATCGTCGAACTGCTGAATACAATGAGTATAAAAGGCGATGCAATACTCAACTGAAGGAATTTCAAGAGAAACTGCTCGAGCGGTTAGGACATGTGTTCGAATCAACTAAGGGCTGTGACCCAAATCTGTCTACAACAAACAAGGATCTAATAGAACGGATAGACATTCGACAACATCTGGCCACCGTTACAGAAATTAAAGATATCGGAAAATTGAATATATTCTTTGCTCTTTGTAAATTATCCTTTCAATCATCGTTAGTGATGAGCAGTAGTATTCGTCTGCAGTGGATGGATGTATTGAAAATGTGTCAGTGGAATATTTCAGTCATTGACTTTGTTTCACAATACTTGGAATGTAAATCAGCATTCGAACAATGCCCACTAGATATATCTGCATTGATTTATCTCACACGAAAAGCACAGTCATCGACGAGTGTTGACTTGCCAACATTTGATATTCTTCATAGCTTTCTAAATGATTTAAACTTAGATTATAAAGAATTCTATGGTCGATTTTTAAGTATATTCGGTGAGGGTATTAGGAAACCTTCTTGTAAACAATCAAAAATTTCCCAACTATTTCGAATTTTAAGCACAGAAGAAGATTTATTTCCGACATATTTATCGACGTATGCATCAGGCGTGTCACCTGATCACTTATGGGAACTATTTTTAAATTTAAGCGCGAATGGCGACATTAATGAAATCATGCAAAAACATCTTAGTTCGATTTTAACCCAGAGAATGCAATATATTAGCATTGAAGTATTCAAGCATTATTATGTGTGTGCCGAATGCTGTTTACCAAAAATCAAAGATGAAAATCGCCAAGTATTTGTTGGAATACTCGACACTGTGCTCCAAGGATTTCTCAGCAAACAGCTTAACGATCAATCATATTCCTGTCAGTTTACAGAATATCATTTAAAAGAATTCCTAAATATCGCTCTGAAATTATCGCCGATGAACAGTCCTCAATATCCATCTTGTTTACTTATTATACGACATTTATTGTTCAAAATGGATAGCTACGAAAAAATAAAATCTAGAAGAGTCAAATATTTATTTGTAAGATTGAACAATCTTGATAAAAAATTATTTCAAACAGATGATCCCAAAAGTATCATACAAGATGAGTGGTTCATTGATTATATGTTTCATATACCTAACGATTGGTTCATGCTAAGCAGATATGATTATGACGATCTCGCCGCCGCTCATCAGAATAATAGTTGGTCACTTTACATTTGGTCACGACTTATTCAATTGAGTCTGTCAAAAGTAGATACTAATAAATGGAACGAAACAGTTGCGCAACTAAATCACTGGATGATCAATGTCGAGCGTAATAAGTACACTGCCAACGACACTTTGACAATTATTTTTGTCAACACTGTATTTGATATGGCTATTTCCAAGAATTCGAAATCTGTTTTGTTTGCTCCGAATATCGGATCAATACTGAAATATATTTTAGATGCCAAACAAAATAATGATAAGTTAATTGATATAAAGCAAGTAGATGATTTCATTCAAAAAGTAAATGAGTCAAT